ATAAGTCCATAGTACTCTCTTATAATATGCTTGAATCTTGGATTTAAGTCAGCTCCCGTGATAAATATATAGGTTTTTGGTATGATACAATGTAAACTGAAATTAACAACATAGCCTTTACTAAGAAATCAAAGTGGAACTTCATCTTCACTAGAAGCAGTGTTGAGTGGCAACAGCAAGAATAGGTTTTTTCCTACGAACTGTAACACCAGGATATTCGGTCATGTCCATATCCTCTCCTTTTTCTCCATTGGGCAATTTCCAGTCAAACTTTTGGACAAGATTTGCCAGTACAAATTCAATAGTTGCCATTGCGAAACCGATTCCCGGACACCCTCTTCTGCCTGCACCAAATGGAATCAGTTGGAAATCTAGTCCTCTGAAATCTATTGAGGAATTCAAGAATCTCTGGGGTTGAAACTTTTCGGGTTCCTCCCAAGATGCAGGGTCTCTACCTATTGCCCAACTGTTAGTTAAGATCATCGTGCCGGCTTCTACATCATATCCCATTATTTTGACATCTTGGGTTGCTATTCGGGCCAAAAAAGGGACCGGAGGGTGACAACGAAGAGTTTCTTTGATCACAGCTTTTAGAAAATGCATTTTCTCCAGGTCATTATGATCTATATCTTGTTTTCCATTAAGAATACCCCTTGCCTCCTTCTGCAACTTCTTCATGATCATGGGATGTCTTAACAGCTCTGTCATTGTCCATTCTAGAAGAGTTGATGTGGTATCGGTTCCGCCAGCAAAAACATCCTGGTATAATTAGATGGGATACAATAAGATAACATACACAAGTATAATCCCTACTTCTGCAAGCAATCATAATTTGATAATGAGCAAAGAACGCAAAGTTAGAGCTGTCACTCCGAGTGTCAGTTCTACGTCCACTTGCTGCTACAGTTTTTAACTATAAATGAGTAAAAAAATAAATTCATATTATCCGTCAAACCTCTCTTGCATACACAAAATGACCCATCTAAAGTTCTTTATATATGTAGAAATATTAGAATGATGTTATACATCTATAGATACCTAATGAACTTCTGATACCAAATACACCTAAAGAATTCGCAATTGCATTTCTTTTAATACTCTTTCACAGTCATTAGTTTCCACTGTCCAACTAGAAATACATATATACATACATTGCAAGAGAGAGAGAGAGAGAGAGAGAGAGAGATTTAATAGTGTATACTCGTCGATGGGATAAGTGTACAGTATGACTAGACTCCACAAAGTCCAAAAAAAGATGAGAGTAAGAGCGATCTTTACCAAGAGTATTCCTTTAATACTTTCCCTATCAATGGAGACACTGCTAGAATTTTCCTTGTAAATCGCTGTCAAAATATCTAGAAAGTTCTCTGTACTTCCATTCTGAACTGCCTTTCCTGATCGATCCTGTCCAGCATCCAAGCATCCCTGAATTACTTCCTCCAGGAACTCATCAAGTTCGTTAGCAACCCTGTCCACTCTAGCCTTAAACCCAGAAACTCTGTCAAGCCATGACAGCCATGGAATGAATTCTCCAACAGTAACATTGCCCAACAACTCTGAAAATTCTCTCAATAGATTCAGAAATTGCTTTCCATTTCCCTCTTCACTGCATTTCCTCCCTAAAACTGACCTGCAGACAACATCATTCGCAAGTAACACGAACATATCACTCAGATTCAGCGGTGATGAAATGGATATAAGCGAAGATACCTATTTTTGAAGAAATAAATAAATAAGAAATCAGAAAACGAGTTAAAAATACAAAAAAAATTAGAAGCTAACAAATAGATGAAAGTAAAGAGACTCCCTCACCTTTTCCATTAAAAGGGTTGTTTCTTCTTCCCTGATGGAATGGAAAGACTGGACTCTTTTATTACTTAGAAGCTGGAGAACACAAATGCTTTTCAACTGCCTCCAATGTTCGCCATATGGCGCAACAGATACATCCTTCCCGTCATAGAAAAATCGCCTGGCAACCCTTGTTTCAGGTTTATTGGCAAATATTAGATCCCGAGTTTTCATTACCTCTTTCGCCGCATTGGCTGATGAGATAACGAGTGTTGGCTTATTTCCAAAGTGAAGCAGCATCAGAGGACCGTATTTTTTGGCTAACGATTGGAGTGATCTGTGAGTTAATGCACTCAGTTGGTGGAGATTGCCTAAGATTGGCAGCTTTGGAGGAGATGGTGGCAGATTCTTTTTACCAGTATGCCTATGTAGAAATTTGGTGAGAAGCCATACAAAGAATAAAGTGATAAAACAGAAGAGAAACGGAAGAAATTCATCAATTTCTTGATGGAAATTAAGCATGTTTGCAAGAAGGATTGCAAGGGAATGGGAGCCAGCCGTTTGAAGTTGGGGGGTCCTAGAATTGAAGATATAGAGATGAAGGGGTGGGGGGCCACGAGGGCTGCCTGCGAAATTTTTTTTTTGATACCTTATTAACAAAAAAACATATAAAAGAAAGTACAAATATTTAATTTAGCAAAATCATACCTTATTACAAGTGTTTCTTTCGAGTTCTCATACTTTGA